GCCATGAGTTCTAGTCCCACCTTAGGCACAAAACCAGCTGGGTGACCTTGGGCCAGTCACTTTCTCTCAACCCTAGGAAGCAGGCAAGGGCAAGCCATTTCAGAAATCTAGCCAAGAAAACTGCAGGGACATGTCCAGACAGTTGCCAGAAGTCAGCACTGACTCAAAGGCAGTGGAAAAAAATCACATTTAGGAGAAATTCCTGTGAGCTAATTCTGTATCATTGTAATGCTCTATAAATAATCAATACCTGATTTGCTAAATGTGTTAGATGTTTCCTACCACGTTCACATTCAAAATAAGTCATAAATTATATGCCTGAATAAGAAGGGACTGAAATTGAGGAAGTAGATAAATGCTGTTTCTCGAGCATTTCATATTACTTGTTGCTGCTGTTAGTTTATATGCATAATTCCCTTTTTTTTAGTAACATTTCCTGTTAGTCTAATTTATCATGGAGGACCGTGATTTTTGTTTTGATAGCTGATAAGAATATTTGATATTCAAGCTTGTTTAATGAGTGTCTTCAGCCAAGCACTAAAAGACCACTCTTGTCTCTATAGTATTCACTCTGAAAGAAAGATGTCTGCAGGTTGTCCGCACTTTAGTGAAACCAGGAAACTACAGGAAATTAGACATTGTTCGTTCATTATATGAAGATCTAGAAGATTATCCAGACATTAGGAAGGATCTTCAGCGGCTTTCTCTGGAAAGGCATAACCGGCTGAGGAATGGAATCTGACAGAAGTGAGGAATGAGAAAGCTCTTTCGGATAATAAACTGCTGTGTACAAGAGTTACTAACTATATTTTATGGATGGAAAAGATGACAGCAACATTCCATTGTGTGTTAGTAGTCATCCCTTGTTTGGTTTGGTGTATGTAAGTTATATGTTGACAGCCGTAGGCGTGGGACAAGTCAAAATGCCACCATGCTGCAGATGAAAACACTTCAATAAAACACAAAACTCTCTTTTATATTAGGCAAAGTATAGAAGCTTGATACAGTCATACAGGAGAAGATGAAGTTTGCCAAAGCTGTTCTCAGGTGGCTCTTCACATAATTCAACTACTGTTTTATTTTATTTTTATTATTTTATTTTAGAAACTGAAACTTGGACAAAATAATTATATTTAAGAATAAATTAAACTTTCCACATTTATGTTACAA